CCTGACTTCCATTCAGTTCACAGGGCTTTTTCAACTCCTTCAAGACCCTTATTGTATATTATTTCACAATTCCTTCCCTTGCTTTATCTAGCAAATCAGTCCATTTCCTTAGATTTATTTGTACTGTATGAATTGTTTTCTGATTTATGTAGATTTCTCAGTAGAGATGCCTGCCTACTCCAGAGCATAGGGCTGGTGAGATTTCTTGGTACAGACTCTTTTAGAAGCAGGGCTTAATAATATGCTTTGTTAGGGATGAACCCCAGAACTTTAGTTCCCACAGCTGGGCTTCTCTTGAAGGTCCTTTCTTTTTAATTTAAAAAAAAAAAAAAAAAAATATATATATATATATATAATTAATATCTTTCCTCTAAGGTATTATAAATAATTTTATAACAATATAATTACTGTCCTCTCCAAGAAGAAGGGTTTTGTTTGTTGTTTTTTCAGAAACTTGAACTTTCTGTGAAGAGGAATGGTGCTTAGTAAAATTTCTCCTTTCAACACTTGCTAGCCATTTTCATTTAATCAGCTTTTTAAAATATCCAATAATGGAGGAAAACTTGGTGGCCAATAAATGAAGCTGGGCCATTCAAGTCTAAGGTATTGCGGCAAAAAATTTGTTCCCTTTATCTTGGCATTAATTGCCAGTCCCCTAAGCAAGCAGACATGTGATCAGAAGTCCAGAAACGAGGCTGCAGTAGGAGGAGGAGGGGGGGAGGGAGGGCAGGTCAGCAAAGGCCATGTCATGAAGGGTCTCAACCCACCAGCTAAGAAATTTGGGCTTTATCCTGAAAAGAGGGGGTACCGCTGAAGCCTTCCATCATCTTGTCTTCCTAACTGGATTCTAAATTCCATAAAATCAGGGTCTGTTATTCATCTTTGTGCTCTTTACAATGTCTGGCCTTGGTCCTGGAGTGGGTAGGACGGCGAGTAAGTGTTGATTGATCTCTAAGGCTGTGATAATCTCTTCGAGTCTTGCATGCCTGACTCAGCCATATTATTAAAATGGAATGAGTCAGAGCAGAGACAGTTTTGGAATGGAGGGGTGGAGGTCTTATTACACCCTGGGCACTGTGCCTAGGCACTCCCAGTTATTATCTAATTTAATCTATGTCAGTCTCCTGCTCAGAATCTGCCAGTGACCTCTGATTGCTCTTAGGATAAAGACCAAAGTTGATAGTAGCCTTCGAGGCTGCTGTTTATTGTCTGTACTGCTTTCTTGTTGTTGTTGTTGTTTAAACTACTTAATTCCTAGCTATTTCTCAGATCTCACTTCACTTCCCAGGGACAGCCTTCACTAACCCACCTTTCCCCACAAATGGGCTCTTGAAGCTTCCTGTGTGAGCATCATGTGACTATTTGACTTCCTTTCCACCTGCTCAAGAATATGAGCTCTGTGATACCTTTTTGTCCTCTGTACCTAGCACAATGCCTGACATTTAGTAGTCATTCAAAACACTTTTTTTGGGCCAGGCTGGTGTGGCTCAGTGGATTGAATGCCATCCTGCGAACCGAAAAGTTGTGGTTTGATTCCCAGACAAGGCGCACAGCTGGGTTGCCGACCAGATCCCCAGTTGGGGGTGTGCGAGAAGTAACCAGTCGATATTCCTCTCACACATCAATCTCTCTCTCCCTCTCTCTCTTTCTCCTTCCCCCCTCTCTAAAAATAAATAAATAAAATATTAAAAAATACTTTTGGTTGCATGACTGAATCTTTGCAATGCCTACCAGACATATATTGTCCCTCTAATTTTTCCGGTGAGGAAATTGAAAATCAGAGGTTAGGTCACTTGTTCAGTGTTGCATAACCCGGAATACCCAGACCTGGAACTCAGGGATGTCTGACACCAAAACCCTCCTTTCTACTAACAGACAGCATGTGCTTTCATATTTGCATCAGTGTCGTGATTCTACCTACCTGCTGAATGATCAATAGAATGAACAGGCTAGTGGTTAAGAATGTGGGCTCTGTAACCAGACAGTCTGGACTCAAGTTTCTCTCCCACCTTTGTTACCTTGAGCAAGCTATTTAATCTCTCTGAATTCAGTTTCCTGGAAAATGCAGTGATATTATCCGCCTAATAGGATTGTTGTGAGGATAAACTAAATTAACTCATATAAAACACTAACACTAAGCACATAGAATGTGTGCTAGCTGTTACTGTTATCAGTATCCATTCACTCCTTCCCATTTTTTTTTACTGCTATCTAAAATTATATCCAGAGACCCAATAGCAATTTTTTATTTATTTTATGGAAATTCACTTCTTGCATGAAACCATCTGCCTCTAAATCCTTGTCCAACTGAGTTCTCTCAATTCAAAATTGGTCATTTCTGTGTCTCAGTAGAAGACACAGAAGTTTTCTGCCTCTAACAGCAAAATACAGTAATATTAATACCCTTTGCTGTGAATTTTTAGGCTTTAGGATTCACATTTCTTCCCATCTCAAGCTCACTTAGCAAAAACACAGTACCACAGTATAGTAAAAAATGCAGTGTTAATAACAATGTTCACTTTCTTACAAATCACAGTCCTTTCCCCAAACGAAGCGCCATATTACCAAGCTGTTTGGATAACTGATTCCCACAGCCCCCCCCAGAATGTAATCCTAATTGTTCGGTAGTGATTTATGTCACCATTACTTTCCCCATTCATCAATAGGTGAAAGCAGGTGTGACTTACAGGAAATTAGAAAAGAAAGGAAGGAAGAAAAATAATTACTTAACATATATAATAGTTGCATGCCAAAATTTAAACATTTTTAGCATGTCCCCTAATAATGGAACTTTCTGTAAATATCATTCTTTCCCTGGTTATTCATTGTTGACATTCTTAACTAGCTTTTTTGTGGTTAAGATGTAATAGTATGTGGGTATGTTTTAGTGACTTAACTGTTTGCCTTTGTACTTAAAGAGGATTTCTGTTTAAATGCTGAGGAATAACAACAGTGCAGTTTGCTGTCCCTCCCCACTTCCACCCCTTGTCAGGCATTACTCTGTGCTTAGTCAATGTTGCTAATCCTCACAGTAGCTCTGCAAGAGAAATGATATGCCCTTCCTAGAGAGGAGGAAGTAAAAGTTTAATGAGATTAAGAATTTACCCAGGAAGCCAGCATGCATCAGTCCCTGAGTGGCTAGGCCCTGGTGGTATTCGTGTTAACGAGACAGGACTTCAGGACTTCAGCCTGGCAAAGTCAGTCAGAGTTATACATGGAAGACCTTCACGACAGGCTGAGAAATGTGTTAATTCATTTTGTAGGTACTGTGGGATGAATGAAGTTTTTTGAACCAGGAGCTCAAAACAGCACAGGTGCTCTGTGGTGCCCAGACCAGCAGCATCGGCAACACTTGGAAACCTAATGGAAATGGAAATTCTTATACTTCCTTCCACCTGCTCAGTCCTGTACACTGGACGATCAGTGATGGGAGGAGTCCTCTCGGTGATTCTGATGTTTGCTCAAGTTTGGGAATTCACTCCTTAATGAATTCTGGCCCTGCTGTGGGAAGGAGTGGAGGAAGGGCAAGGAGGAACATGTAGAGGTTATTGCCAGAAGCCAAGGGAGAGGTCATTAGGGCATAAATTTGGGTGGTTTCATTGGAAATGAAACAAAGGGAAAATCACGAGGCTTTTCAAGGCAGAAATACTGGGACTTGATGACTAAATGGAGGTCAGAGTATGAGATAGAAAGTCAGGACCCACAAATGTCAGGCTCACAGATACGCACCAAAGGCTTTCAGAGAGAGGACTTGTTTATACTTCTCAGGAATCTAAACATAACTGTGCATTAGTTTATAGCATCTTTTTATAAATCTTACTTACACCCAGTAATCCACCACCCTCAACTAGATAACTTTCTCTCTAGGGATGAAAATGGGCCCGATTCTCCAGTAATGGGCCAGTAATCCTACCAACCATGGATTGAGTTGTTTAATGCCAAGAACTTTCCTCTAAGTACTGTATATTCATTACCTCTCTGTTGTTACTCATTAGTTATGGATGTTTGTAAATCCCCTTCCCGTAGTGTCCATTCTGAGCTGCACACCACTGTAAAATTGATGTTTCCAGACCCTGGTCTGAGAGACCAGGAGTCTGGGCTCTGGTGTCAGACAGCTCTGGGCTGAAAGTCCAGCCCGTCATTTACCAGGTGTGTGGTCTTGAACAAGTTACTCACCCAGTCTTCCGCCGAAATTTCCCCTAGCTGTATTAAACAGGGATTATTATTACAAGGAGTAGGTAACAATGAGTGGAACTCTTAGGGTTGTTATGAGAACCAAATGAGAAAATGCCTGCATGATGCTTGGTACATGAAGTACTGAATAAGTATCAGTGGAGGTGATGGCAATGAAGATGTCACTCCGCTGCTCAGAACCTTCATTGGATCTCCTTGGTCAAGACAATTAACTGCTTCGTCTAGTATTTAAGACTTTCTATGAACTAGTAACTCTCCTTCTCAAAGCTTTTATGTGATGAAGCTTGTTAAAATCCCAGTGCTTCAGCCAGGCTGGTCGGCGTCCCCCAAATGCACCAAGCCTGTGACCATATCCCAGCCTGTGATCCTATTCCTCTGCTCCTCTGATCACATCCAAGTCCTTCAGGCCCCAGCCTGATATTCAGTGTTTGTGGAGCCATCCCTAGCAAGCTCTGATCTGTAATATGCTTAATCCATTCAACTTGAGCTTTGATGACCTTCTCTGATCAATGGACCCTGTGCAGCAGTGCATGTAACTCGGGATAACCCTGTCTGTGCTCAGCCCACTTCCCCACACCCTTCAGTAAGTTCAGGGCCTCGCCTCTGCTGTGCTTGGCGCCAAGCCCCGTGTGAGGGATGTGCTTTCTTAATGGTGGTAACATACACCTTAATTTAGCCTCTTGGTCTTTTCTGAGTTCATTTAAATATGTGTTGGTGGTTTTTTCCTCTCACTGATAATGCTGATAACTTCCTCTACTGGGATAACAGATAATCTATCAAATACTAATTATTATTTTTCCTCTCAGGATGAACTTGATCTCACAGACAAACACAGGGAAGCCATGTTTGCACTTCCAGCTGAGAAGAAGTGGCAGATATACTGTAGCAAGAAAAAGGTAAGATATCTATTGTATACATGGTTAACTGGGAGATTATCATTTTGATTCCTTTTGCTCTCCCATTTTACCACCAGAATTCAGACAACTGTGTATAATGTACAAACAAGACTCAACCTATTCTGCTGTGGCCTTGGTGCTGCCTTTGGCAAAGTGCCAACTCCTTGGATGTTTTTATCAACATTTCACAGGACACCCCCACCCACACCTTGTATCTGTAACCATTACTCATAATCCTGTACAACTGAGAACCAAAAGTAACACTGGCTTAACACAGTGATCAAGGCCTCCCTGCCCTGCCTCGCTCTTCATGCAAAAGTTTATGGGCGGGTAGGTGAGGGCTGGTACTGTGAGGTCACAGTCCTCTGTGACTGCCTTCTAACAGCTCTCCATTTCGCCATCTCTAAGGCCTTGTCCTCACGGTGGCTCTCCAGCCGTTTCACATCTCACATTAAGGATGGAGGAAAGGGAAAGAAGGCAAAACCTCCCCACCTCCACTCTAAGGGGCGCTTATTTGGGTGGTCACCCCCACTTAAAAGCTAGGTGTTCTGTTACCTTCACAGAAGGGGAGGATGGGTATTGGCAGCAGCAGCCCTACAGCTCTTATTCCAGGGCATCACCCTGGGGACCGTGTCTCCAGCAATCGAGTTCGGTCTGCCATCTTTTAAACTTTGTGGTGAATTCTTGGACTAATCCCATCCCATTTTTGGAACCAGCCCTGCCCATGGCCATCTTCAGGCATTTTCCCTTCCCTTCTGTTCAAAGAGAGACTTGAATCAGTCTGGGGTGACCAGGAAGGGTAGAGCTAGCACCTAGGAGAAAGGTTACCTTTCTCCCACAGACAGTGGACACTCCGATTGCTCACTTTTGCCCAGGGAAGTAAGAACAAACTACAGCAATCCAGTATCTTTTCAAGACAGACTCCATCAGGAAAGGCTTTCCTTAGCTGACTTGTATGCATTTGGGGGCCTCCATTTGCCACATGGCTATCTGTCAGCCCCTCTGTCCGTCTTTGCTGCCTTGAGTAATTGGCATGCACCCTCCCCGCAGCCTTCTCCTGCGTGAGCCTGCTTGTGCCCCCCTCCAGCCAGACGCCATGCCTCTGCTGGTGAGGCCCCATGTCTTCCTCATCTCTGTAACTCCAGCTTCCGATACTTTGAAATGAACGTCTGATGAGTGAACCACTAAGTTATCATCACTGTCATACTGAACTGTCAACAATTTGAAGCACATTTAATTTTCTACCTGAGCAGTTACCATTGATAAAACTCTGTGTGGGGTTTGGTTCCCAGGGCCCTTGCTGAGAGATGCATCCAGCTCTAACTTCTCAATATGGTCTTCAAGCCGCTGTCAGATCAGACCGGTTGCTGTCTTAAGGGTTCCTTATCCACTCATAACCAAGAGGACGTGTTTGTGAATGAATGTGTCCTCTTTTCCCATTCTCTTTGTATACATCTCACCAACCAGGAAACTTCTCCTTCATTGAACTAATTGTCATGACTCAGGAAGAAAATACAATACACCGGGAAAGAATTTTAAGATAAAATATAATGTGCTCAGTTCTGCAAGTAATGGTATTGTAAGGCCCTTGGCAACAAAGGAACTTTCCACGAGCTCTTGGCCCCTGGAACTGAGAAAGAAAAGTCCTCAAGAGCCTGTGTACACAGAGGACATTGTCTATTTTGGCTCATCCGAGAACAGATTTTTTTCCCTCAAAATTAGGAAGCAGTGTGAAGTGGGGGTTGAAGTATGGACTGGAGGAAAGGAAAGGGCAGGAGAATGGGAGCAGCTTATGGAGGGGAAAGTTTTCTTCTTTCCCAGATTTTATTACACCCTTGACAGCTATTGAAAGTTAATCATGGAAACTACTGCCCCTTAGATTAGAAAACGCAAACCCTGGAGAATAGTAATGACCTAGGGCTCGCAGCTGCTGCTCATTTTTCAATTTCCAGGCCTATCAAATCCCCTTGGGCAGGCCTTGTCTCTCGTGCGCATGTAGGAGGCGGGATGTGGATGTGGCCACTGGCTCAGAATCCCCTTTCTTGATGGATGGCCCCTTCCTGCGAGTACCTGGCCAGATTGCACAGATCTTTAAGAACACAGTTCTGCTAGCTTCATTCCAGCAGCTTGGATTTCCTGTGTGACTTAGCAGTGGCACAGCAGAGGGGAACAGCCACTTTAACTCTTTGGGGAGTCCCATGGCGCATAGATACACCTCACTTTAAAATGGACAATGGCTGTGTCAGGGATTTTCTTGATCAGAGCTTCTCAGGCATCTAAAACTACATGCTATGCCTTTGCTTGGAAGCTGACCTTTTTTCTTTATTGATGGATGAGAGAGGGAAGCATGGGTTTGTTGTTCTACGTATTTATGCATCATTGGTTGATTCTTGTGTGTGCCCTGACTGGAGATTGAACCCACAACCTTGTTGTATTGGGATGATGCTCTAACCAATGGAGCTACCCAGCCAGGGCTGAAACTGACCTTTTCGAGCTGTTAATAAATCAGGAAGTAACACAATGAATAAGAGAACACAAACACCTGAGCACAGAAGGGCATGATGCTTACCGCTCTTCCAAGAATGTGATTTAAGCCCAGGTTGACCGTCTCCGAATGGAGCCATGGTGGCTCTCCTCAGTACCGAGAACGGATTCTTTTCCTTAACCATCTCTCATGAAGCCTTTGGAATAAGGCTTGCCACTAGTGAGCCTGACCAAAGACTGAGGGAAAGCTACCTACCTATGGCTCCCTCAGATTTCCCATCTTTCAAGATCAGAACCCAGGGCACTGCAGACGTTCTCACACGTAGTGACGTCACAGGGGAAGCGCCCACAAAAGCCAACAGAAACAGGCACACGAGTAGGTGAAAGGCAGGCTTTCTGTTTAAAAGTGCGCAGGACTGGGAACTGAAGATGGGGCCAGGTCTTCTCAGCCAAGTGGCTCTTTTCCATCCAATAGTGACTAGAGTCCCAGCAGTGGCTATCTGCTGATCAGGCTCTGTGTTCATTTCTCAAACTTCTCTATCTAAGTCTCTGGTTGAAAACCTATTTCCAGAGCCAAAATGAAAGCAGCAGAAGTATTTCTGGGGCTAAAAGAATTGGAAAGAAACTAATTGGAATTTTGCCTAATTGAGTAATCCGGGGGAGAGCAAGAGATGGATGCTATGGCCTTGTTGAAAGTCCAAACAAATCTGTAGAAATGGCTGGACCAGTTGGTCGGCCACGGTTTGTCATACACGGCAGTCCACTGTCAAGTTTTTTAACTCTCATGAAAGGTCCCCCAAAAAAGGTTTGTTGGTGGGGCCGGGGGGCGGGGAGTATTTTCAAATAGGAAATGTTTGTGGTTCTTATCTTTAAAGGTAATTCCCTTTTTAGTTCCAATCACAACATACTCTTTTGTTTAAGTGAGGTTTTTCCCAGTCTCCAGCCAGAAACTGCATCTGTTAACAATCTTTTGGATTTTAAACTGAAGCTTTTTAAACAATGAACCATCTGACCACGAAAGGCATCTGGCCATGCTGTATTTGCTTATTGTTAACATGATTTTTAAACCCTGGGAAAAGTGAGAAGTAGGTCTTCAGAGAGGAGAAAACAAAATGGTATATCCACCACATTATAGCCGCAGCAATCTTATCAGCACAGACAGGAATCTCCTTTAATTGCAGCTCTTCACCGGAGCAATTGTAATAGTTGTGTCACTTAACCAGTCCTTAGCAGTATCCAGAACACACTTTCCCCCTCCTTGAGCTTCTGAGTTTGCAAAGTAAGTGAATGGGGCTAGACACTGTTAGCTGTAGTGACATCAGATATGAAGGCAAAGATCAGGACCTGATTTTCCTCCATTCGTATCTGATCTCTAAAGCCAAAGCGTAAGTACAAGGCTTTGTAGCCTACATTACATTTCTGTATCTTTTTGAGGTTGACTTTAGAGAAGGTGAATTTTTACTCTGCTGTTGAGTTTATGTGTGACTCTAGTTTAAATTACTCCAGAATCTTGCCTAGCCCGGCTGCAGTTCAGCTGTTGTGATTTGCACAGTGTACTGATTCTGAAACATCTAGGAAAAGTGCATATCCTAATTGGATCACCTCCCCACTCTCCCCAGAAAGGAACTCTCCTTTCACCAGACACACACAGAGATCAAATTTGCATTGTGTATGGTCATCAGGATACACTTCTTTCAGCTCCTTGAGAGTGGAGGCCCTCCTGCATTGGGGGCACCCGGACAGAGTGGTTTAATCAAAACACAGATGAAAAGGAACATGTGCTAAAGTGGTGGAATTAAAGACAAAGGGAATCATCAGTTTTCCACATAACTGTCAAACAAACTAGCTAGAAAAGAAAGGTGGTACAGTAATCCTCTAGTTGTTCCCAGCACCCTAATGAGAACCTGCTGTGGGTCTGTGGGGAGGAGAAGCATGAATGGGTGGGCGTTCAACCTGACAGATTGGAAAGGAAGAAGGACAGGTTAGACATCGTCTTCTTTCTTTACTGTAGTTGCTTGAATAGACATTGGAGTGAGCTTGGAATTTTCAGTGCCCACTTTGCTAGATGTCAAGATTTGGGAGAGGGAAGCAGTAATGGGGGAGAAACTAGATTTCGGTAACACTATTTCTAGACTTGGTGAGAAGCACCTTGTTTGGTCTCCTGCTTTTGAGTTCTCACCCCATAATGGGTTCCAGTTGGCATTTGTGCTCCTAATTTGAAGAGACTGAAGAAAGTGCAGGAGTAATGATCGGAAGTAGGCTTGGGCGGTCTTTCCCTCTTTATTTCTCTAAAGACTAGATGAGGGAGGCACAGGAGTTGGAGGACGACGGGCATTTCCAGACTCCGTGTCTCTGAAACTCCCTGCCTCGTCTACCTATTTCTTGGCTCTGAGATACGAAAATTTGTAGATAATCCCAGATGGAAATGGTAAGAAACAACAAGCTTTAAGTATCGGGGAACTTCAATTAATGAAACAATGAATCCGCAAAGGGCAGGTTGCTGTGTGAATCACCTG